ACTTACAAACACATGCAGGCTCCGCCTTCGCAACATTGCCAAGATACGTACGTTCCTTACCCCAGACACCCACTAAACTACTCGTACACTCCCTGATTATCTCACGCCTTGACTACTGCAACTCCCTCCTCACCGGCCTACCCCAGTGCAGGCTCTCCCTGCTTCAGACCATCCTGAACTCAGCGGCTAGACTCATCCACCTCACCACCCGCTCCACCTCTGCCACCCCCCTCTGCCTATCCCTCCACTGGCTCCACCCTCCTCTGCCTATCCCTCCACTGGCTCCACCCTCCTCTGCCTATCCCTCCACTGGGCTCCACCCCCCTCTGCCTATCCCTCCACTGGCTCCCTATCGTCCAACGCATCAAATTCAAACTACTCACTCTGACCTACAAAGCCATTCACAACACTGCCCCTAACTACCTCACCAACCTGATTCCCAGGTACCGCCCTATCCGTACCCTTCGCTCTTCACAGGACCTCCTTCTATCTTGCTCCTGGTCTCCCCTCTCCCCACGCACGACTGCAAGACTTCTCCAGGTCCTCCCCCATCCTCTGGAACTCACTACCCCAATCCATCAGACTGCTGTTCTGTTTCATGTATTGTCCCCCCCTCTATTGTACAGCGCTGAGCAAACCCTTTGGCGCTATATAAACTCCATGTAATAATAATAATCCCCCCCATACCTGTGGCCTGTATTCGGGGGTTACTTACATCTTGCTTTGTTTTCTGAAACATTGAGTGTCTGAAACGGCTTGTTGCTTAGCCATGGTTGGTCTGAGGGACCACTGAGAAGCCACTGTGGAAGCCATAGGGGGCACAGACATCAAATGGTTTTTTTTATATATTAAAAAAATATTTGTAAAGCCATTGTTTTGACCGCTGACTGAGGGTACACCTACCATTGTTCTTCATTTACCATTGATCTTCCTCACTTATCATCGTTCTTCCTCACCTACCATCGTTCATCTTCATTTACTATGGTTCTTCTTCCATTTACCATTGATCTTCCTCACTCTCCATTGTTCTTCCTCACTCTCCATCGTTCTTCCTCACTCTCTATCGTTCTTCCTCACTCTCTATCGTTCTTCCTCACTCTCCAATGTTCTTCCTCACTCTCTATCGTTCTTCCTCACTCTCTATCGTTCTTCCCCCTCACCCTCCCATTGTTCTTCCTCACCCTCTATTGTTCTTCCTCACTCTCCATTGTTTAATTCCTCACATACCATTCTTCCTCACCCTCTATCATTTGTTCTTAATTTACCATCAATTCTTCCTCACCCTCCATCCTTCTTCCACCCTCCTCACCTACCATTGTTCTTCCTCACCCTCCATTGTTCTTCCTCACCCTCCATCCTTCTTCCTCACCCTCCATCCTTCTTCCTCACCCTCCATCCTTCTTCCTCACCTACCATCGTTCTTCCTCACCTACCATCGTTCTTCCTCACCTACCATCGTTCTTCCTCACATACCAATGTTCTTCCTCACTCTCCATTGTTCTTCCTCACATACCAATGTTCTTCCTCACCCACTATCATTCGTCTTAATTTAGTATCATTCTCCTCACCTACCATTGCTCTTCCTCATTCTCCATCATTCTTCCTCACATACCAATGTTCTTCCTCACTCTCCATTGTTCTTTCCTCACCCTCCATCCTTCTTCCCTCACCTCCATCCATCTTCCTCACCCTCCATCCTTCTTCCTCACCCTCCATCATTTTCCATCACCTACCAATTCTTCCTCACCCTCTATCATTCGTCTTAATTTAGCATCATTCTTCCTCACCTACCATTGCTCTTCCTCATTCTCCATCATTCTTCCTCACCTACCAATGTTCTTCCTCACCCTCCATCCTTCTTCCTCACCCTCCATCCTTCTTCCTCACCCTCCATCCTTCTTCCTCACCCTCCATCATTCTTCCTCACCTACCAATGTTCTTCCTCACCCTCTATCATTCGTCTTAATTTAGCATCATTCTTCCTCACCTACCATTGCTCTTCCTCATTCTCCATCATTCTTCCTCATTTCTCTCTTTGGTATTGGCTCCACGCTTGCCCTGGGAATTGTAGCAGCAATGCTCCAGTGTCAGTTAGATAGCAGGACCTCATCCACACTGCCAAGTGGAAGTATATTCAGGGAAATGCTTTGAGTTTAGAGCCAAGTCTCCACCCTTTCTTTATATTAGTATAACGGTGATTGGAAAAAGGTATAATGTGATTGATGTCCAATACAAGAGATAGATGAGAATACTGGTGGGGGATGGGGCAATATATTGAGCAACTGCGGAGAGCATTGTCAATTCTGATATCTCACTACTCAAAGGTTTCATATATTCAATTATATTATGTGATTGTTTATATATTGTTGGGTCCCCTCAGAGTCTTTGCTGTAATATTTGTCCCCAGGATGTGGCCCCCAGAATCACATCGACATGCTTTTAGTCTTGATGTCCTTTCCTTGTAATGATGGAATCACATGTTGTGGCTGCGGTTTGTAATGTCATAGCTGATCGATCTCCAGTGTCCATATACTGCTGCAGCTAGCTGGTCCCTATTCACTAGACAGGCAACTTCCTGCCCTGCGTCACACAGCGTCCAATCCAGGCCTCACCTCTTCCTCTGTTACATCACAAATGTCAGAGTGCTGATGTGATGAAAACGTTTCTTCCAGCATGGTGAGATAATTGCTCTGCCTGCTGGTGTCTGTGTCAGATCTGATTGCTGTGTAGCTGCAGAGCACTAGAATGAAGGACGCGGGATCGTGGGATATGTAGTTTCTGCACAGAAAATGTCAGTTCTCACACTACAGGGAGAGGTCATGCATTAACCTGTGCAGTGGCAGTTCATGCCTCATGTTTAATCACAAACAGAAATGTCTGACACACTACATGTACATCCTATGAATGACACCACGACACTACATGATCAGTGTACATCCTATGAATGACACCACGACACTACGTGATCAATGTACATCCTATGAATGACACCACGACACTACATGATCAGTGTACATCCTATGAATGACACCACGACACTACATGATCAGTGTACATCCTATGAATGACACCACGACACTACATGATCAGTGTACATCCTATGAATGACACCACGACACTACATGATCAGTGTACATCCTATGAATGACACCACATGATCAGTGTACATCCTATGAATGACACCACGACACTACATGATCAATGTACATCCTATGAATGACACCACACACTACATGATCAGTGTACATCCTATGAATGACACCACGACACTACATGATCAGTGTACATCCTATGAATGACACCACGATACTACATGATCAATGTACATCCTATGAATGACACCACGACACTACATGATCAGTGTACATCCTATGAATGACACCACGACACTACATGATCAATGCACATCCTATGAATGACACCACGATACTACATGATCAGTGTACATCCTATGAATGACACCACGATACTACATGATCAGTGTACATCCTATGAATGACACCACGATACTACATGATCAATGTACATCCTATGAATGACACCACGACACTACATGATCAGTGTACATCCTATGAATGACACCACGACACTACATGATCAATGCACATCCTATGAATGACACCACGACACTACATGATCAGTGTACATCCTATGAATGACACCACGACACTACATGATCAGTGTACATCCTATGAATGACACCACGACACTACATGATCAATGTACATCCTATGAATGACACCACGACACTACATGATCAGTGTACATCCTATGAATGACACCACGACACTACATGATCAGTGTACATCCTATGAATGACACCACGACACTACATGATCAATGTACATCCTATGAATGAATGACACCACATGATCAGTGTACATCCTATGAATGACACCACGACACTACATGATCGATGTACATCCTATGAATGACACTACATGATCAATGTACATCCTATGAATGACACCACACACATGATCAATGTACATCCTATGAATGACACCCAACATGATCAATGTACATCCTATGAATGACACCATGACACCACATGATCAGTGTACATCCTATGAATGACACCACGACACTACATGATCAATGTACATCCTATGAATGACACCACATGATCAGTGTACATCCTATGAATGACACCACGACACTACATGATCAGTGTACATCCTATGAATGACACCACGACACTACATGATCAATGTACATCCTATGAATGACACCACGACACTACATGATCAATGTACATCCTATGAATGACACCACGACACTACATGATCAGTGTACATCCTATGAATGACACCACGACACTACATGATCAGTGTACATCCTATGAATGACACCACGACACTACATGATCAATGTACATCCTATGAATGACACCACGACACTACATGATCAATGTACATCCTATGAATGACACCACGACACTACATGATCAGTGTACATCCTATGAATGACACCACGACACTACATGATCAGTGTACATCCTATGAATGAATGACACCATGACACTACATGATCAGTGTACATCCTATGAATGACACCATGACACTACATGATCAGTGCACATCCTATGAATGACACCACGACACTACATGATCAGTGTACATCCTATGAATGAAACTACATGATCAATGTGCATCTTATGCAGGTGAAAAACACGGGGCTCAGGTATGAAGATTTCGAATGTCTTTCAGGCAGATCTCTGGGCAGAGCACGCACTTCTATTGTATAACTTCAGCATTGTAACAACAACACAAACAATACCTATTACTGTCAATCCAATATAAGATTACTGGAAAATAAAATCTCCTTTCATGTTGTGCTGCTTGTCTGCCATCTCTTTCCACCACTTCCCGCATTCCCAGCATGCTTTGCAGCTTCTCCATTTCTCAGGACTACATATCCCATGGTACCTTGCTGATTCCTGTACTGACTCCGCCCCCTTAAACTCTTCCCCTCAGAAGGCGGGCTCTGTGAAATGTGTGATGCGGCAGTGCCTGCTCACAGGCCATAGTGACTCTGTGTCCCAGAATTCCATGATGGAAATGTGTGGGAGGAGCCTGGAGATCATTGGAGGACAATGTGGAGATGAAGGTCTGATCTTATCTTCTCACCATAGATACAGTTTAACACTCATGAATGAAATATGAATGAAAGGTAAAATCATTTGATGTGTTTTATCTGCAGATCCAAAAACATCAACGGGATACAATTTCCTGGTGCCATGGATCGGTAAGTTCTCTTAGACACAGTCACGCATTTACAGCCAGTTCTCTATGTGGTCTTCCATCCCCTATAGGTCAGCAGGATCATTGAAGGTCCCTACGTGTCGATCGATGCAGTCGGCTTGGAGTCGCTCAGACTGGTTACTAAACTCGCTGAAGGACTTAGAGGTGGAATTAGATGGACGGAAGGTTTTTCAACCTCATTATTTAACTATGGAACAGATACAGATTGCATGGCGGTTACTCTTGGTACAATTTGTGTAACAATTCAGAAAACGAATCTAGAGGACATTGACAGGATTAAAGCTCTCCCCATTCTCATTTCCCAACACCCCCATTAGATTATTTATAAAGATGAGAAAAGACTCGGGCCCAACCAGTACGTCCTATGTGTGTGATTTGTGGTCTCTATCAATTCCCATCGTCCTGTATATTCTGCTGGGGGAGGGAGTTCTGCACTTTACTGCTCTAACAGTAAAGAATCCATTTTTCAATGTAAAGTTAAACCTCCTTTCTTCCAACCTCAAATTGTGGCCATGTGTCCTCTTCGGGGACCTCCATGATCAGTTTATTACAGTTACCGGAGTCCCCTTTATATATTTGTACATTGTAATCAGACCCCTCCTAAGTTGTCCATTTAAATTCACTTGCCGTATAACTTTCCATATATATTTCTGTCTGTGGATTATTGTGAGGCCATTGCCGGTCACTCTGAGGATTCTTCTTTCTGTGCAGGGAAGGGATTGCTGGTTCTGTCGGGGAACTCCTGGTTTCAGCATCGCCGGCTCATTACTCCTGGCTTCCATTATGATGTTCTGAAACCGTACGTCAAACTCATCTCTGAATCCACCAATGTCATGCTGGTATGTACAGGGCAAGGAAGGCTTCTGTCCCTCTGATATCCTGCAACATCCCTCCATCATCACACATTGTTGTAGCTGACTCAGCATACAGCTCAGCAGACCAATCAACAGCCTTTGTACCCCCGTAAATATTCTGCTGTGTGATTTGGGGATGAGATTCTGTGTGAATAGCGGTTCTAATTGGGCATCCACTAGGTGTCTGTCTGCTGGTATCTGTTCAGCTGCTTTGCAATAAACCATGAAAATGAAACGTCCGGCAGTATATTAATATGCGTTTACTAAGGAAGAGTGTCGCACATATAAACTGCTGTCAGTTGTAGGAAAACCATAGAGAACATACAGAGTACTACAAATATACATACAACACACAGGTGTTATCTGACCTAGGTGTTATACTACACACTTCCCCTTCCCAGCAAATGAGCATTGAAAATGGTCTGTATGTTATACACATACAACACACATGTAGGTGTTATCTGACCTGCAAATGAGCATTGAAAATGGTCTGTATGTTATACACATACAACACACGTGTAGGTGTTATCTGACCTGAAAATGGTCTGTATGTTATACATACAACACACGTGTAGGTGTTATCTGACCTTCCCAGCAAATGAGCATTGAAAATGGTCTGTATGTTATACATACAACACACATGTAGGTGTTATCTGACCTGAAAATGGTCAGTATGTTATACATACAACACACGTGTAGGTGTTATCTGACCTGAAAATGGTCTGTATGTTATACATACAACACACGTGTAGGTGTTATCTGACCTGAAAATGGTCTGTATGTTATACATACAACACACGTGTAGGTGTTATCTGACCTGAAAATGGTCTGTATGTTATACATACAACACAATAAAAAAGTCACTGTTTGCATTATAGCTGCTCCGTGATTTCTGTAGGAATACAGGACTCCAGGCATCTCAAGCGATTGCAGAAAAGGTGGTTATCTGACCTGAAAAATGGTCTTTCTCTGTTAGTTGTCATACAAGTTGTGTAGGTGTTATCTGACCTGAAAATGGTCTTGTAGTGTCTTGTAGTGTGTCTTGTAGTACAACACACAATAAAAGTGTGTCTGTTTGTCTTGTATAGCTGCTCCTTGTAGTTGTCTGTAGGAAACAGGACTCCAGGCATCTCAAGCGATTGCAGTGGGTTCTTGTAGTTGTTTTTCTCTTGTAGTTGTCTTGTAGTTGTCTTGTAGTGTGTCTTGTAGTGTGTCTTGTAGTGTGTCTTGTAGTTGTCTTGTAGTTGTCTTGTAGTTGTCTTGTAGTTGTCTTGTAGTGTGTCTTGTAGTTGTCTTGTAGTTGTCTTGTAGTGTGTCTTGTAGTTGTCTTGTAGTTGTCTTGTAGTGTGTCTTGTAGTTGTCTTGTAGTGTGTCTTGTAGTGTGTCTTGTAGTTGTCTTGTAGTAGTTGTCTTGTAGTTGTCTTGTAGTGTGTCTTGTAGTGTGTCTTGTAGTGTGTCTTGTAGTGTGTCTTGTAGTGTGTCTTGTAGTTGTCTTGTAGTGTGTCTTGTAGTTGTCTTGTAGTGTGTCTTGTAGTTGTCTTGTAGTGTGTCTTGTAGTGTGTCTTGTAGTGTGTAGTGTGTCTTGTAGTGTCTTGTAGTGTGTCTTGTAGTGTGTCTTGTAGTTGTCTTGTAGTGTGTCTTGTAGTGTGTCTTGTAGTGTGTCTTGTAGTGTGTCTTGTAGTGTGTCTTGTAGTGTGTCTTGTAGTTGTGTCTTGTAGTGTGTCTTGTAGTGTGTCTTGTAGTGTGTCTTGTAGTTGTCTTGTAGTGTGTCTTGTAGTTGTCTTGTAGTTGTCTTGTAGTTGTCTTGTAGTGTGTCTTGTAGTTGTCTTGTAGTGTGTCTTGTAGTGTGTCTTGTAGTGTGTCTTGTAGTGTGTCTTGTAGTGTGTCTTGTAGTGTGTCTTGTAGTGTGTCTTGTAGTTGTCTTGTAGTGTGTCTTGTAGTGTGTTTGTCTTGTAGTGTGTCTTGTAGTGTGTCTTGTAGTTGTCTTGTAGTGTGTCTTGTAGTTGTCTTGTAGTGTGTCTTGTAGTGTGTCTTGTAGTGTGTCTTGTAGTGTGTCTTGTAGTTGTCTTGTAGTGTGTCTTGTAGTGTGTCTTGTAGTGTGTCTTGTAGTTGTCTTGTAGTGTGTCTTGTAGTTGTCTTGTAGTTGTCTTGTAGTTGTCTTGTAGTTGTAGTGTGTCTTGTAGTGTGTCTTGTAGTGTGTCTTGTAGTGTGTCTTGTAGTGTGTCTTGTAGTTGTCTTGTAGTGTGTCTTGTAGTGTGTCTTGTAGTGTGTCTTGTAGTGTGTCTTGTAGTGTGTCTTGTAGTGTGTCTTGTAGTTGTCTTGTAGTTGTCTTGTAGTTGTCTTGTAGTTGTCTTGTAGTTGTGTCTTGTAGTGTGTCTTGTAGTGTGTCTTGTAGTGTGTCTTGTAGTGTGTCTTGTAGTTGTCTTGTAGTTGTCTTGTAGTGTGTCTTGTAGTTGTCTTGTAGTTGTCTTGTAGTGTGTCTTGTAGTGTGTCTTGTAGTTGTCTTGTAGTGTGTCTTGTAGTGTGTCTTGTAGTGTGTCTTGTAGTGTCTTGTAGTGTGTCTTGTAGTGTGTCTTGTAGTGTGTCTTGTAGTGTGTCTTGTAGTGTGTCTTGTAGTGTGTCTTGTAGTGTGTCTTGTAGTTGTCTTGTAGTTGTCTTGTAGTTGTCTTGTAGTGTGTCTTGTAGTGTGTCTTGTAGTGTGTCTTGTAGTGTGTCTTGTAGTGTGTCTTGTAGTTGTCTTGTAGTTGTCTTGTAGTGTGTCTTGTAGTTGTCTTGTAGTTGTCTTGTAGTTGTCTTGTAGTTGTCTTGTAGTGTGTCTTGTAGTTGTCTTGTAGTGTGTCTTGTAGTTGTAGTGTGTCTTGTAGTGTGTCTTGTAGTTGTCTTGTAGTGTGTCTTGTAGTGTGTCTTGTAGTTGTCTTGTAGTTGTCTTGTAGTTGTCTTGTAGTGTGTCTTGTAGTGTGTCTTGTAGTTGTCTTGTAGTCTTGTAGTTGTCTTGTAGTTGTCTTGTGTTGTCTTGTAGTTGTCTTGTAGTTGTCTTCTTGTCTTGTAGTGTGTCTTGTAGTTGTGTCTTGTAGTGTGTCTTCTCTGGCAGAGTCTTCTTTGGTTGTCTTTCTGTGGAGTCCCTCTTTCAGCTTGTGCTGTTGGCCTTTTATCTAGAAGGTTTGGGTAGCAATTCCCACACGGGTATATCTCTTTCTGCCTCTTCCTTTCTGCAGTAGCTTGTCTGAGAGATGTCTTTTCTAACTCCAAACTCTAGTTGGCACTGTGGTATCATACATGCCATGGGTCAAATGTATCAAAAGGTCAAGGTATTGTTTATCTTTATTGACACAGCTTTGGGTCCAGTGTTTGACAGACGCTCCTTTAAAGCAATTATTATTATTATTATTACATGGAGTTTATATAGCGCCAAAGGGTTTGCTCAGCGCTGTACAATAGAGGGGGGACAATACATGAAACAGTACAGCAACTACAAACAGCACACGAGGGGTTAGAGGGCCCTGATCCTGGGAGCTTACAATCTAGGAGGGGGAGGGGGTAGTGGTACAGGAGGAAGTGGCTGTGGGGGATGGAGTGGTAGGAGGAATGAAGGAGAACGGCTGTTAGGTGAGGGTGGGGTAGGCTTCCCTGAAGAGATGGGTTTTCAGGGAGCGCCTGAAGGTGAGGAGGGAAGGTGACAGTCTGATGGATTGGGGTAGTGAGTTCCAGAGGATGGGGGAGGACCTGGAGAAGTCTTGCAGTCGTGCGTGGGAGGAGGAGACCAGGGAGCAAGATAGAAGGAGGTCCTGTGAGAGCGAAGGGTACGGGTAGGGTGGTACCTGGGAATCAGGTTGGTGAGGTAGTTAGGGGCAGTGTTGTGAATGGCTTTGTAGGTCAGAATGAGTAGTTTGAATTTGATGCGTTGGGCGATAGGGAGCCAGTGGAGGTATAGGCAGAGGGGGGTGGAGCCAGTGAAGGGAGAGGCAGAGGGGGGGGGGGAGCCAGTGGAGGGATAGGCAGAGGGGGGTGGCAGAGGTGGAGCGGTTGGTGAGGTGGATGAGTCTAGCCGCTGAGTTCAGGATGGTCTGGAAGCGGGGAGAGCCTGCACTGGGGTAGGCCGGTGAGGAGGGAGTTGCAGTAGTCGAGGCGTGAGATAATCAGGGAGTGTACGAGTAGTTTAGTGGTGTCTGGGGTAAGGAAGGAGCGTATCTTGGTGATGTTGCGGAGGCGGAGTCTGCATGTGTTTGTAAGTGATTGGACATGAGGTTGGAAGGAAAGGTTTGAGTCCAGAATGACGCCAAGGACGCACACATGTGGCCTTCACCCCATTGCTCTGGGTCATATAGCAGAAATGCTCCAACTCTCTCCCGATAGAGTGGCTGGATGAGTTGGCCAAGGGAGGAGGTGTAGATGGAGAAGAGAAGGAGTCCAAGGACAGAGCCCTGGGGGACCCCAACAGAGAGGGGGAGGAAAGGGGAGGTGGCACCGTTGTAGGAAATGCTGAAGGAGTGTCGGGATAGGTAGGAGGAGAACCAGGAGAGAGCGGAGTCTCTGATGCCAAGGGAGAGTAGTTTATTAAGGAGGAGGGGGTGGTCAACTGTGTCGAAGGCCGCGGAGAGGTCCAGGAGAAGGAGGACAGAGTAATCGCCTTTGGCTTTGGCGGTAAGTAGGTCGTTGGAGAGTTTGAGGAGGGCAGTTTCGGTGTAGTGTAGGGGACGGAAGCCGGACTGTAGGGGATCAAGGAGATTGTTGTCAGTGAGGTGGGCGCTTAGGCGGTCGTAGACTAAGCGCTCAAGGAGCTTGGAAGTGAGTGGCAGCAGGGAGATGGGTCTGAGGTTGTTTGGGTCAGTGGGGTTCAGGGAGGGCTTTTTGAGTATGGGGGTGATGTGCGCATGCTTTAGGGGGGAGGGGAATACGCCGGTAGAGAGGGAGAGATTGAAGATGTGGGTGAGGGAGCGGATGAGGGAAGAGGGGGGTGACCGGAGGAGTTGAGAGGGGATAGAGTCCAGGGGACAGATAGTGAGGCGGGCTTCTGAGAAGACCCTGGTGACTTCTTCAGTGGTAGCAGGGCTGAAGGAGTGCAGTGCTGGGGGGGTTACGGTAAGCGGGGCCTTGGGTGTGGTGGGGGGCAGTGCAGTTGCGAGGTCAGAGGGGGGAAGAGATGAGGGGGAGGCTAGGTGGGGAGGTAGATTGCGAGTTGACTATGTCCTTACGGATTGCGTCAATCTTGTTGTGGAAATGAGTGTCAATCTCGTGGGCGGTAAGCAAGGTACTGAGTGGAGGAGGGGGGGGGGGGGGAGAGGAGAGGAGGGGGAGTTGAAGGTGGAGAAGAGTCGGCGAGGGCAGGTGGAGAGGGTGTTGATCAGGTTTATGAAGTAGGCCTGCTTGGCGGCGTGGAGGGAGGAGGTGTAGGTGAGGAAGGCAGATTTGTAGAGGGAGAACGCATGAGGGGACCTGGTTTTGCTCCATAGTCTCTCCAGCGCACGACTGCGACGTTTGAGGCGTTTAGTGTGGTCGTTCTGCCATGGTTGGAGTGGTCTGGGTTTGATGTTGCGTGTGGTTAGGGGTGCCAGAGAGTCTAGTGTAGCTGATAGTGAGTCGTTGTACGTGGTGGTGGCTATGTCAGGACATGACAGTGGAAGGATGCTGTCGTGTAGGCGGTCGGCAGCCGAGTGGAGGGGGGCCGGGTTCAGGTTGCGGAAGTTGCGGCTGGTGATGGTTTGGCGCTCTGGGGGGGGGGGGAGTTAGGGGAAGGGGAGATGGAGAACATGAGGAGGAGGTGGTGGTCGGAGAGAGGGAAGGGGGTGTTAGAGAACTGGTTGAGGGTACAGAGGTGGGAGAAGACGAGGTCCAGGGTGTTCCCATTGATGTGGGTGGAGGATTGAGTGTACTGTGTGAGCGCGAAGGAGGTTAGGTGGAGGAGTTGGGATGTAGCCGGGTTGTTGTCATTGATGGGGATATTGAAGTCTCCAAGGTTGATGGTTGGTAGCTCAGAGGAGAGGAAGAAGGGAAGCCAGGCAGCGAAGTCATCCAGGAAGCGGGGTATGGATCCGGGAGGCCTGTAGATCACTGCGATCCTTAGGGGGGTGGGGGAGAAGAGCCGGATGCAGTGAAAAGCAATGGCAATAGATAAAAATGTGTCCACTGTCCCAATATACAATAATAGTATCTATTCCCCCATTGTGTTAGAGAACAGAATACCAGTCTTGGCAAATATGTTTCCTGATAGGACAATGATGTGTTTAGAAGCTGATGCTGTTTACTCCTGAAAAACAACCAAGATTTGTTATGTAAATCACAGAACCTAGAACCTAGAACCTATATAAGTGTCTGCACTCTATAGCACAATTACTGACCAAACTTCCTCGTCACTAACTTTGGCTCTTCCCACTCACATCCTTTATTACTTCTCCGTAAGAGCTGAGAATGTGGAATAGACTCCCTCCAGAGTTGGTTGTGGCAGCTCAGTGGGTTGCTGTAGGAAAGTCCTGGATTCTTTCTTGGATACACAGAATATAACTGGATATAACATTTATAGGGAAAGGTGATCCCGGGAATATCCGATTATTGATCCCGGGAATATCCGATTATTGATCCCGGGAATATCCGAGTATTGATCCAGGGAATATCCGATTATTGATCCCGGGAATATCCGAGTATTGATCCAGGGAATATCCGATTATTGATCCAGGGAATATCCGAATATTGATCCCGGAAATATCCGATTATTGATCCCGGGAATATCCGATTATTGATCCAGGGAATATCCGATTGCCTCTCGGGGGATCAGGAAGGAATGTTTCCCCTGCACGAACAGATTGGATTGTGCTTTGCTGGGTGATTTTGCCTTCCTCTGGATCAACTGTGGGTGGAGGATTATAACTTTTTTTTTTCTATGGTTGAACTGGATTAACTTTTGTCTTTTTTCAGCCAGACTAACTATGTAATTATTGGCCTGTCACTGTGATGGGCAGCCCTACAAACCAATGGTAAAGCAAAACAACAGGAGGACTTAGGGCCAGTTTGGGGGATCCCCAGGCAACAGAAAAATATCTTCCTGACAGACATGAGGGTAACTGATGCTTCATTCTTATGTGTCTGACATCTCTTGGCAGGACAAATGGGATCCATTGTGCAATAAGGAGGAATCGTGGAGCTTTTCCAGTATGTCAGCCTGATGACCCTGGACAGCATCATGAAATGTGCCTTCAGCTACAACAGCAACTGCCAGACTGACAAGTGAGTTCCGTCAGCAGCAGCCGCTTCCTTCTATACACTGTCATGGCTTTCTGGGACTCCTCATTCTGATAATGTGTGTTGTTGCATTCATATATCTTCTGTTGTTCCATGGATGTTCTTTCCATAGCATGCTACTCTCCTAATGTCCATAGAACCTTCCCTTTCTTAGAGTAAAGCTGTCACCTATATGCACAGTAAAGTAACTGGCAGAATCTGGAGCTTCTGTGTACGGCAGCCAATCAGCTTCTCTTTCATTTTCAAAGTTTAACTGTGTTAGAGCGATTATTCTCAGTGTCGGTGGGAATGTTGAGACACCTACATGGTGAATGTGTGACACATAGATCATACAGAGCCTCATGACAGGTTCTCTTCTTGGACGATCACACACACGCCTCCTGTATGGATTTCAATGGTTGTTTTCTGCTTTTTAGTTTCATTGAAATGTTGTCACATTTGATGTAATATTTAACGCCCAGATAATATATATAATTACAGAAAACATATTTACAGTATAAATCTTGCCCCTTTCAGTGTTAATTCTTACATTGGCGCTGTGTATGACCTCGCCAGTCTGACGCAACAGCGAATCCGGACGTTCCCCTATCACAGTGACTTCATTTACTACCTCAGCCCTCACGGATTACGTTTTCGCCGAGCCTGCAGGATTGCTCATCTTCATACCGGTAAATGACTTTTGTTTTGGCATTTTTATAAATATAATTTACTCTTCAGCAGAAATACTTGTAGACCTTGTTGTACTTAACCCAGACATGGAAGAGGACGGAAAAGAGAAGAAAACGGGAGAAGAGCGCAACAGGAAGATAGAGGGGTAAAGGGTGAGAAGGGGGGAGGGGAATTGGGAGGAAGGGGGTGCCCTGAGTCCACCAGGGTGTCCCACATGGACTGTCACATTAAATCAAGGCTTTAATAACTGTCTATCATAGCAGATAGAAGAAAATGCCCACCCCAGGCGGTCCGGGTGTTGTCAGCTGGCCATTCGGTCTCAATGTATAATGTTATACTATGCCGTGTGTCCATCCGTATCGGCACATCATTACCAGAACACCAGGAGATACTCAACATGTCATATGGTTTATATATACAGTATGTCTCAGCCCCAATACTGCCTTCCTATTAGTGCTGCTAGTCCCTCTCTATATACAGTGTATACCATATATATACTGTATATGGGCTGTTCACATCCCCGGGTTCTATAAAAGCAATGAACAGGAACTTCTCTCTGGATTCCCTCTGTTGATGGGTTAGTCTATCAGTTTACTATTTCTTGGTTTCCTGAAAACTTTCAGGTCTACAGAGAGAAGTAAGAGGAATAATCCAGAAGGTCTCATGTATGCAATGCATTCAGCTGGCAATGTCTGTTTAATCCAAACAATTCTATTATGATCTCTTGGTAATTTTTACATAAGAAGATGTTATGTATCTGTCCAACGTTTCCGAAGCTTTTGGATTTTCTGAATTGAATTACTCTGGAGTCCCGTGTTTTATACAGTGAAAATCGCTCACCATAGGGTTACCCTAGGCGGGCACACAGACATATATGTGTCTTTCCTGTGAGGGCATCTCTCTGTTGATCAGTTTGGAAACTGTTTCCTGATACAATATTGTGCTTTTCTGTGGCTTAGTGCCAAGATCAGATTCTTAGAACCATTTACTGGGAGTCTCGGAGTGGTTTTCATATCTCTTATCTATAGGTCGATTTCAAGAGATTTCTGAAGATTCAGAATATATTTTTTTTTCTTCAATCAGACAAAGTTATTGAACAAAGAAAAAAACTGCTGGAAAAAAATGAGGAGCTCGAGAAAATCCGCAGAAGAGACACCCCGATTTTCTGGACATTCTTTTGTGTTCGAAGGTCAGTTTTCATTACTTCTTATTGGTATCTCTGGGGAGACCTTTGTGTCGGAGCATTGGGCCTTCATTTCCAAATGAGCCTGTAATAGGCATCCCCCCCGAATCGTCATATAATCAATGATACGCTGAAGGAAAACATTCAGAGATCTTTCAGGCAATGCCCATAGATATCATTGCGCAGTAAGGTCACTACTGTGACTACTCATAACTGTACCCCTAAATCTGAGGGTGACTACTCATTACTGTACCCCTAAATCTGAGGTGACTAGTCATTACTGTACCCCTAAATCTGAGGGTGACTTACTCATTACTATACCCCTAAATCTGAGGTGACTACTCATTACTGTACCCCTAAATCTGAGGTGACTAGTCATTACTGTACCCCTAAATCTGAGGGTGACTAGTCATTACTGTACCCCTAAATCTGAGGGTGACTAGTCATTACTGTACCTCTAAATCTGAGGGTGACTAGTCATTACTGTACCCCTTAATCTGAGGGTGACTAGTCATTACTGTACCCCTTAATCTGAGGGTGATTACTCATTACTGTACCTCTAAATCTGAGGGTGACTAGTCATTACTGTACCCCTAAATCTGAGGGTGATTACTCATTACTGTACCCCTAAATCTGAGGGTGATTACTCATTACTGTACCCCTAAATCTGAGGGTGACTAGTCATTACTGTACCTCTAAATCTGAGGGTGACTAGTCATTACTGTACCCCTAAATCTGAGGGTGACTAGTCATTACTGTACCCCTAAATCTGAGGGTGACTACTCATTACTGTACCTCTAAATCTGAGGGTGATTACTCATTACTGTACCCCTAAATCTGAGGTGATTACTCATTACTGTACCCCTAAATCTGAGGGTGACTAGTCATTACTGTACCCCTAAATCTGAGGGTGACTAGTCATTACTGTACCCCTAAATCTGAGGGTGACTACTCATTACTGTACCCCTAAATCTGAGGTGACTGCTCATTACTGTACCCCTAAATCTGAGGTGATTACTCATTACTGTACCCCTAAATCTGAGGGTGACTAGTCATTACTGTACCCCTAAATCTGAGGGTGACTACTCATTACTGTACCCCTAAATCTGAGGGTGACTACTCATTACTGTACCCCTAAATCTGAGGTGACTGCTCATTACTGTACCCCTAAATCTGAGGGTGATTACTCATTACTGTACCTCTAATCTGAGGGTGACTACTCATTACTGTACCCCTAAATCTGAGGTGACTGCTCATTACTGTACCCCTAAATCTGAGGGTGATTACTCATTACTGTACCTCTAATCTGAGGGTGACTAGTCATTACTGTACCTCTCAATTTGAAGATGATTATTCATTACTGTACCATCTCTGAGGATGAAAATTCATTACTGTGCCCCTCAACCTGAGGGTGACTGTTCATTATTGTATCCCTCAATCTGAGGGTCACTACAGCCCTTAAGTACCTACCTAGTCCTGATTAATTAAATCTGTAAATTTCATTGTATTGTATTTCTTATATTTCTTCTGTGTGACACAGGATGAGAACGGTCAGGGCCTGTCTGACGAGGACCTCCGAGCTGAAGTTGACACTTTCATGTTTGAAGGACACGACACAACAGCCAGTGGCATCTCCTGGATCTTGTACTGTATGGCCCAAAATCCAGAACACCAGGAGAAGTGTCGGGAGGAGATCCGGGAGGTCCTGGGGGACAGGAAGACTATGAACTGGTGAGTTCCCTTATGGCCTTATAAATTTTTTTGTGATAACAGACTGAAAGGCAAATGAGTATTGACAGGATGGAAGAACACCTTCATTTCTGAAAACGAAATGCTTAACTTTGTGTTTTATTCCAGGGAAGACCTAAGCAAACTTCCCTACACCACAATGTGCATTAAGGAAAGCCTTCGTCTTTATCCTCCGGTGCCCTCCGTCTCCAGGGAACTCTCCAAACCCATCACATTCTTTGATGGGCGCTCCTTACCAGCAGGTATGGTGCTAACAGTCAGCCTGTCCCTTCTTCTACCTTTGGGTGAGCTAGAAGCATGGCAGCAGAGTAAAGGCTTTCTCTCATTGTTTCTGCTAGATACTGGCTTGTGATCTCTGTGACCTGTCCGGAGTCACTGTACAGGGTGTCCCTAAAGTCTGGACACATAGGCAAAATGCATATTTTCAATAAATTTCAATACATTTTTCAAGATTTTATTTCATTGGAATATTAGTCAATAACATCTTCACTGTGATTTCCACCATTTGTGATGCAAACTTCGATGCGCTCTGCAAGATTCATATGGACCTGATGTAGTAACTCCACATTTCCGTTAATTTGAGCACATTCATTCATGATGCGTTCCTTCAGGTGATTCATATCTGTGATTTTCATTGAGTACACCTTCTCCTTTAGCCTACCCCAAAAAAAGAAGTTAAGGGAGTTAAGGTCTAGTGAGCTTATATAGTGACACTTTCCTATGAGTCCGGACTGTAGGGACACCCCGCAGAACTGCCTTTTTGGTTTTATAACCTTTTAATCTGCCAGGTTCTGACACTGATAGGGTGTGATTCATTTCGTACCTTTATAATGTAATTTCATAAATACTGTATACAGTATATATATATATATATATATATATATATATATATATACAGTCAGGTCCATAAATATTGGGACATGGACACAATTCTAACATTTTTGGCTCTATACACCACAATGGATTTGAAATGAAATGAACAAGATGTGCTTTAACTGCAGACTGTCAGCTTTAATTTGAAGGTATTTACATCCACATCAGGTGAACGGTGTAGGAATTACAACGTTCAAATATGTGTCTCCCACTTGTTAAGGGACCAAAAGTAATGGGACAATTGGCTTCTCAGCTGTTCCATGGCCAGGTGTGTGTTATTCCCTCATTATCCCAATTACAATGAGCAGATAAAAGGTCCAGAGTTCATTTCAAGTGTGCTATTTGCATTTGGAATCTGTTGCTGTCAACTCTCAAGATGAGATCCAAAGAGCTGTCACTATCAGTGAAGCCATCATTAGGCTGAAAAAAAAAACAAAACAAACCCATCAGAGAGATAGCAAAAACATTAGGCGTGGCCAAAACAACTGTTTGGAACATTCTTAAAAAGAAGGAACGCACCGGTGAGCTCAGCAACACCAAAAGAACCGGAAGACCACGAAAAACAACTGTGGTGGATGAGCAAAGAATTCTTTCCCTGGTGAAGAAAACACCCTTCACAACAGTTGGCCAGATCAAGAACACTCTCCAGGAGGTAGGTGTATGTGTGTCAAAGTCACCAATCAAGAGAAGACTTCACCAGAGTGAATACAGAGGGTTCACCACAAGATGGAAACCATTGGTGAGCCTCAAACACAGGAAGGCCAGATTAGAGTTTGCCAAACGACATGTAAAAAAGCCTTCACAGTTCTGGAACAACATCCTATGGACAGATGAGACCGACATCAACTTGTACCAGAGTGATGGGAAGAGAAGAGTATGGAGAAGGAACTGCTCATGGTCCTCAGCATACCACCTCATCAGTGATCATGGTGGTGGTAGTGTCATGGCGTGGGCATGTATGGCTGCCAATGGAACTGCTTCTCTTGTATTTATTGATGATGTGACTGCTGACAAAAGCAGCAAATTCTGAAGTGTTTTGGGCAATATTATCGGCTCATATTCAGCCAAATGCTTCACAACTCATTGGACGCTTCACAGTGCAGATGGACAATGACCCAAAGCAGACTGCAAAAGCAACCAAAGAGTTTTTTAAGGGAAAGAAGTGGAATGTTCTGCAATGGCCAAGTCCATCACCTGACCTGAATCCGATTGAGCATTTCACTTGCTGAAGACAAAACTGAAGGGAAAATGCCCCGAGAACAAGCAGGAACTGAAGACAGTTGCAGTAGAGGCCTGGCAGAGCATCACCAGGGATGAAACCCAGCATCTGCTGATGTTTATGCGTTCTAGACTTCAGGCTGTAATTGCAACCAAGTATTAAAAAGTGAAAGCTTGATTTATGATTATTATTCTGTCCCGTTACTTTTGGTCCCTTAACAAGTGGGAGGCACATATGCAAACTGTTGTAATTCCTACACCGTTCACCTGATTTGGATGTAAATACCCTCAAATTAAAGCTGACAGCCTGCAGCTAAAGCACATCTTACTTGTTTCATTTCAAATCCATTGTGGTGTATAGAGCCAAAAATGTTAGAATTGTGTCGATGTCCCAATATTTATGGACCTGACTGTATATATATATATATTTGATGAACACAGAAGACTGAACTGTGTATTATACTTTTATTTCATGATATTTCTGTGATTTTACTGAATAATAAATCCAAAGGGCATTTGCAGATTTGGCTCCTGTCAGCTATTACATTTGGTACTGTTTTCTATTCTACTCTTATCAGAAGAAGAGAATTTTCCCTCAGAGAGCAGCTTGTTTCATTGATACTACACTAAATACCAGCAAGTCTGTTCCATTTAATTTTTTTATATAATCTTCTAAGATCCGATGCAGCAGAGCTTTCAAAGAGCAGGTCCAGCCTCTGCGAGCCTCCTCCTTCCTCAGAACCATATGACTTTCCATCCTGTACTCCAAGATTCTGAATGAGGAGGATCAGGGTGTCTGTTTCTTTGTGAATGATGATCAGGTCAGGAATTATTAGAGCAGTATAGACTTTAGATGCACATTTCAATTTTCAGTAGTATACATCATTACAAAAGACTTTGGCCAGGTTAGGAACCCCTGGAACTGGAGACCTGGGATTAGGTATTATCAGATTGGTAGAGATCAGAGAGGTCCATTCATACAACACCACTACAGAGATCCAGGGCATGGGCTGGGTAGGTCGTGTCCCCAGAAAGTATTTGTATTGTGGGGGTTTGACTGGAAAGGTAATATTTTCAAAGTAATCTTGTTCTCTGGACTTTGAAGCTTCCAATGGTGATAGTTAGTTGTATAGATGCAAATCATTTTTTTTGTAAGTAGTAGTCTGACCTCTCCATCGAAATGCAAGGTCCACTTCTTTGTTATGCTCTCCATGAAAATAACAAAATGATAAACAATTAAGAAAAGCCCAGAACTGAGGAGATACAAATATATTCTTGCCTTTCACCCCAACATCTGCCCAGAGTGATGTCACAGGCCATCCGGTGAGATTCCCCTGCCCCTGCCCAGTGTGCTCTACTTGGTCATTGATAATAAGATGTTGTCTCTTCTTTAATGTTTTTATGTACTTTTTAGGTTCTCTCGTCAGTTTAAATATTTATTGCATTCAACGGAACCCAGCCGTGTGGGAGGAGCCAGAGGTACAGTCATTTAGCTTCACTACTGTTTTACATTGGACAATTGGTGGACACATGAACAGGAGAAGGCCAGCTGATTTGCTGACAATTTGATTACATCTTTTGGAAAATATATTTCATGTGGTTGCTTGGAAGATGAATCAGCTTCTCTTAGAAAGTTTTTGGTTGTTATTTTCTTCCAGTTTGTTTTGGCTCTTGGAATAACGATTCTATCTAAGTGGAGGAGCCAAGAGCCCTTTTCCACAGTCCATAGATTCCAGAGTGCAAAAAAATGTAACTAATATGCATCAGAAAATGTACAAGCCATCGTCCCACGTTCTCTGCACCCTCCCTATAATAAAAAGTAAAATGTAGGGATATTCCTTGTATTATGCCCAAAATGGAAGGCAGACCCAAAGTCAGAGGCAGCAGTGCCGGGGGTGAAGGTAATAGGGCAGTAACAGGCTTCAAAAGCAGATCTGGCACACCAAAGCATTGGCAGGGTTGCACACAGCAGAGGTGACGCTCCTTGGTCAAAGTGGCAGATCAATCCATGGACAGCACATGAAGGATGTTAATGACTGGATCATGAAGCCTGTGTCATCCTCTGCTTTCCAGGCACAGAGCAACCAGTTTTCAATCCAGTGTATCTAATTCAGCCTCTTCCTTCCCTTCTAACAATATCACCAGACCCCTTTAAACTGGCTGTAAGGAGTGGTGGTATTGTCTGAGAGCTCCCATTTATAGGTTGTTGCCAGAGGATCAGCACCAGAAGACAATAGTGATACGTACTGTATGTATGTATGGTGATTCTATGGGTGGATCAGTGGCTGTTAGCACCCCTGAGGATGCCCTGGTCCAGGCAGAGGACAGCAGACACACAGTAGCACCAGCCATCGAAGTGCCAGCAGATAGATCTTTCTGTGAGGTGGGCTCCAGTGATGAAGTAGTGGGGGACAATAATGGGTCAGTCCTCACTTGTGTGCCATAGAGGGTAGAGCAGGGCAGCTCTGGGGGGAGAAGTGAAGGTGGGACCCTAACAAAAGCCTACAGGATCCTGTCAGAGACCCCCCAGCAGAAAGGTGTTAATTCCCCAGGTCTAAGAGTCTTTTACTCATACAATCTGTGCATACACTCAGCATGTCATCCTGTAGATCTAATGTTAGCCCACCAGGGTGTCCGGCTGCTGCATGCGGAGCCTCCAGCACATTGTGAGTGACACCCAGGAGATTTATCTCTGATAATCCCTCACTGTTGCCACTGATAACGTGGACATTCTCCTACACACAGCTTCACAGGCCAGTCACATGTGTGAGCCAGTACAGAGCCTGCTACACACAGCCAATGACACCCCAAAGTGTCAGTGGGTGAGGGGAACCTCCACATTGTTACTGAAAAGGCATAACGAATGGCTATTGCAAAGCAGCATCAGTAGGTGCTAAATATAAATGTTTTCTGTACGTCAGCAGCCTGTAAAGTGTTACCTGATGGGAATGTCCCTCTGATATCTCCTCGTCCACATTTCCAGCAGAGGGAGGTTTCATTTGATCCACAAGGTGAGGGAATCAGTACTCCCTACCATAAGCCTGGGTGTGCACCCAATGGGGATCTGCTCCAGTCTGGGGCCATCTTTTAGCCAACAGTACAAATTGTGAATAAAATTGTTAAAACGAAGATGGAACATTAACAATAAGACTTCTTGTCACGTACCTGGTTGGGGAGCCTGATGTGGAGAGAGGGCGTCCTCTTACAACCCCCGCTCGGAGCCCCTGGAAGTGGGTACAGGGGCGCAGAGCCAGGAGTGGCAGGAGTGCCGTATGGATCCTGAAGACTGTCGGCAGGTAGCTGGGGACCCAGGCGATCCGGTCACAAGCCAGGTGTGAGTGCAGGAACGTAGGTGCAGCAGCAAGGAGGTGTGGTGGAGGTCGTCCTGAGTGCGGGTTTTGGGACCGCGCACCGGTGCGTGGATGCAGTGGCTGACAGGTTGGCGGTGATCCAGATGTAGGCCAGATGCAGAGCTGTGGGTACAGCGGCAGGTGGTTATGGTAGCCGACCAGATGCGGTGCAGGTGCAGGCGGGATAATACAGCGGAGTCAGGCAGGCCGGGTCAGTATCAGGCGGGCAGCGAAGTACAAGAGGAGCAGACAAGAGAATGGTCAGGGATAGCCGGGGTCAGTGCAGGCAGAGTTCTTTCTTAGGCGGGTATGCAGAATACAGGGATCAGGAATGTATGCAGGAACGTTGTAGACCAGAAGGCAGTGATTTTACATTGAAGCAGGTTTAAATAGCCCGCCTGACGTGATGTGGGCACCTACTGCGCATGCGCGAGCTTTCCGCGCTACCGGGCATGCGCGGTTGCACGTGCCTGCGCACTCGCACCGCTGCGACTCGAGGGGATCTGTCGCCGTCGCACCGCTGCATGGCGACAGGATCCCTGACACTTCTTTTCTGATGTCAGGAAATGTCGCCTACATTGCCGGTAACGTTGTACTTTGTAATGCTTTGTGAAGGATTTATCTTCTTACCTCTACACTCCCTATATGTGATTATCATTTACACTGAGCAACATTGATCTCTGTATTGCAGGTATTTGATCCTCTTCGATTTTCCCCAGAAAATTCTGCCAAGCGCCACTCTCACGCCTTTGTTCCCTTTGCGGCAGGACCCAGGTACATAATGAGTTTACGGTATTTACACCAAGCCCTATAGAGAGCTCTGTACAATTTACGCTGCCAACCAGTAAGAACATCCTACTGAACACAGCGAGTATTTGTCTGTAGGGTTAACCCCAACCTTACCAAGGTCACTTCTACATGCCCGACATAGGGAGCTTTCTGCGATGGAAATGTTCCATAGTACACGGATCATCACATTCCATCAAGGGGAGAAACGTTTCAGAAGGTATTATGAGCTCTGAGCAGTGACCCCTCATTGTCCAGCATGGCACATAGTGATCCCTGTAATACAAATTATTGCAATTAGCTATGTAAGCAGGTAACCCCAGGGAGCTGCCCCCCTAACCCCAATTCTACCCCCCAGAGATCCCTTTTCTGTGCTCTTGTTTGAAGAACCCCTGAGGCGCAGGACCCTGGGGGGAGTTAGGTCAGTATACATATTGCTGTAATTCTAATAAATACACCCAAACACTACATGTGAAATATCACATTTTGAAGTGTGACCCACAGTCTTCCTTATATCTGATGTTCACATACATGGGCAGCTTTGTGGCTGAATGGTCTGTAGCCCAGAGGTCCTGCATTCAGTTTCCACCAGAAGCTCTGTGGTCTGGAAGTGGCTATGTTCTGTATGTGTGTCCTGGATTAGGGTTTTTTCCCCTCATTTCTCTGGAAATGTATCTTCTGGGATCTCATAGGATAAACACATTCAAGAATGGGTGTACATGGAGGGCATTGTGTGAGGGTTCAAGTCCTTTTTCTTCTAGTTTATAGCCATCCTGAAATGGGATTATCTATTGGGGGACAGTACAGCTGCTTTGTCCACATTTGGTCTCTAGGTAATGATGCCATCTTTAGTAGAAGTTCTCTTTTTTTTTATCCTGCCCAGGAACTGCATTGGACAGAACTTCGCCATGAATGAGATGAAAGTAGCTGTGGCGCTGACCTTGAACCGGTTTGAACTATCACCTGACCTCTCCCAACCACCCCTGAAACTGCCGCAGCTGGTCCTGCGCTCGAAGAACGGCGTTCATGTTTTCCTGCAGAGAGCCGGGTAAAGGGGGATTTAGCTGTCAGATCAACACAGAAGATTTCCTTTCCGCTTATTTCCCTGTAATTATACCACAATAAAATATAATCAAGAAATCACGTTGCTGGGTCTTCCCTGTGTCTGACTTTTCAGCGATGCTGTCATATTTCAGCTTACAGTTGCCCCTCATTTCAGGGCTGCAATAATAGAGCTGCAACCCACCTGAAGTGTGTGATAAGGTAAGTGTTCATGTACAGGAGCCCAGCCACTTTATTCATAATAAACCACTACCATATCCCACCCTGAGCTCTGATGAAGAAGGCATGTCCTTCGAAACGAGTCAGCTGTACTGAGTGGCTTCCTCCATGATGGGATTCGCATTGGCATCTTGCCTTTAAAGTCCCTTTGAGGACTTACATGCTTGTTTTTATTCGCTGTTTGTGAGTGCCATTCTTTTACTAAATAAATTTTGGTTACTGAGGTAATGCGCAAGGTTGGTGCGCTTCTTTTTGTTGTTTCTACTTCACAGTTCTGTTCGGGCTTCCCCATCCTTGGTGTGGAGCTGCACGACCTTGTCTATTCTGGTGGTTCCTTCCTTTTTTGGAGTTTGATTCCATCTACTCACCACCGGTCTGGGTCCCGGAGCACAGTGGGTGTACCCTGTAGGGTCAGGTTCCTGTGTTTTAGGGGACAAATTGCCTTTTGCTTTGGTGAGTTGTAGGAACTACACAATTCTTTACCTTCTCTTTTTTATATTTTCTCTTATCCTTGTGCTAGGAAGTTGTACAGATGGTTCTGGTTTCTACTGTATGGTTCAAACTCACACACGTGCATCTGAGAGCTTTGTTTGGATTTTGAGATTCTGCTTTCTGCATCATTTCTGGTGGCATTGGGCACTGCTTTTCTGTGTGAGGTAGGACAGAAGTGGGTGTTTGGGTGGTGGTTGCCAGCCTCATTTCTGGCATTTTCATTTGCATTTTTTGGCAATTTTTTCTTTTATTGCTTTCTATTCCTTTTGGCCAGTATGGGAGGAAGCGGCAAAAAGAAGATGGTCAGAGACATTTGAATGATTACTTTAGTCAGCTTTGTCAATTGTTTATTCAATGGATGAACAACAGAGCCTCCAATACAAAAATTATCTGTTCAAAATAATTATAACTAATTGATTATCCTCAAGTTTGTTTTCCCTATGCAGATATCCTTTATTTAATCACAATAAGATTGGGTGTAAGTATGGACTGGTACTATAAAATGAATTGGTTTATTTTACAGCGGTCACTTTTACAAAACACCATAAATAAGAGTGAAATTGAGATATGACACAGACGCTAAGATTTGATGCACGATGAATGACCTGCTAAAACATGTGAATATACTGAATTAACTGAAATAATTAATTTGTAGACAAAGCTGCAGCCTAGGTTTGCCATTACTCTGCATGGCCCCATGCAGACACTCTTCCCTGCTGGAGGAGCCATGTGTAGACCTTTCTCATCCCTTGAATATACCATTATCCTTCTCGCTAGAGCAGTGGTTCTCAACCTTTCTAACGCCGCGACCCCTTAATACAGTTCCTCATGTTGTGGTGACCCCCAACCATAAAATTATTTTCGTTGCTACTTCAGAACTGTAATTTTGCAGTGGGAGGAATAGTGCCCCATCATTGGTATCAGTGGGAGGACTAGTGCCCCATCATTGGTATCACTGGGAGGAATAGTGCCCATCATTGGTATCAGTGGGAGGACTAGCGCCCCATCATTGGTATCAGTGGGAGGAATAGTGCCCCATCATTTGGTGTCAGTGGGAGGAATAGTGCCCCATCATCAGGAATAGTGGTGTCAGTGGGAGGAATAGTGCCCCATCCCAGTGGGAGGAATAGTGCCCCATCATTGGTATCAGTGGGAGGAATAGTGCCCCATCATTGGTATCAGTGGGAGGAATAGCGCCCCATCACTGATGTCAGTGGGAGGAATAGTGCCCCATCATTGGTGTCAGTGGGAGGAATAGTGCCCCATCATTGATGTCAGTGGGAGGAATAGTGCCCCATCATTGGTATCAGTGGGAGGAAATAGTGCCCCATCATTGGTGTCAGTGGGAGGAATAGTGCCCCATCATTGGTGTCAGTGGGAGGAATAGTGCCCCATCATTGGTGTCAGTGGGAGGAATAGTGCCCCATCATTGGTATCAGTGGGAGGAATAGTTGCCCCATCACTGATGTCAGTGGGAGGAATAGTGCCCCATCATTGGTGTCAGTGGGAGGAATAGTGCCCCATCACTGATGTCAGTGGGAGGAATAGTGCCCCATCATTGGTATCAGTGGGAGGAATAGTGCCCCATCATTGGTGTCAGTGGGAGGAATAGTGCCCCATCACTGATGTCAGTGGGAGGAATAGTGCCCCATCATTGGTGTCAGTGGGAGGAATAGTGCCCCATCATGATGTCAGTGGGAGGAATAGTGTCCCATCGTGGTATCAGTGGGAGGAATAGTGTCCCCCATCATTGGTGTCAGTGGGAGGAATAGTGCCCCATCATTGGTATCAGTGGGAGGAATAGTGCCCCATCATTGGTATCAGTGGGAGGAATAGTGCCCCCATCATTGGTGTCAGTGGGAGGAATAGTGCCCCATCATTGGTATCAGTGGAGGAATAGTGCCCCATCGTTGTGTCAGTGGGAGGAGGAATAGTGCCCCATCATTGGTATCAGTGGGAGGAATAGTGCCCCATCATTGGTGTCAGTGGGAGGAATAGTGCCCCATCATTGGTGTCAGTGGGGGAATAGTGCCCCATCATTGGTGTCAGTGGGAGGAATAGTGCCCCATCATTGGTGTCAGTGGGAGGAATAGTGCCCCATCATTGGTGTCAGTGGGAGGAATAGTGTCCCATCATTGGTGTCAGTGGGAGGAATAGTGCCCCATCATTGGTGTCAGTGGGGAGGAATAGTGCCCCATCATTGGTGTCAGTGGGAGGAATAGTGCCCCATCATTGGTGTCAGTGGGAGGAATAGTGCCCCATCATTGGTATCAGTGGGAGGAATAGTGCGAATCATTGGTATCAGTGGGAGGAATATTGTCCCATCGTTTGTATCAGTGGGAGGAATAGTGCCCCATCATTGGTGTCAGTGGGAGGAATAGTGCCCCATCATTGGTGTCAGTGGGGAGGAATAGTGCCCCATCCTGATGTCAGTGGGAGGAATAGTGCCCCATCATTGGTGTCAGTGGGAGGAATAGTGCCCCATCACTGATGTCAGTGGGAGGAATAGTGTCCCATCGTTGGTATCAGTGGGAGGAATAGTGTCCCATCCATTGGTGTCAGTGGGAGGAATAGTGCCCCATCATTGGTATCAGTGGGAGGAATAGTGCCCCATCATTGGTATCAGTGGGAGGAATAGTGCCCCATCACTGATGTCAGTGGGAGGAATAGTGTCCCATCGTTTGGTATCAGTGGGAGGAATAGTGCCCCATCATTGGTGTCAGTGGGAGGAATAGTGCCCCATCATTGGTATCAGTGGGAGGAATAGTGCCCCATCATTGGTGTCAGTGGGAGGAATAGTGCCCCATCATTGGTATCAGTGGGAGGAATAGTGCCCCATCATTGGTGTCAGTGGGAGGAATAGTGCCCCATCATTGGTGTCAGTGGGAGGACTAGCGCCCCCCATCACTGGTGTCAGTGGGAGGAATAGTGCCCCATCATTGGTGTCAGTGGGAGGAATAGTGCCCATCATTGGTATCAGTGGGAGGAATAGTGCCCCATCATTGGTGTCAGTGGGAGGAATAGTGCCCCATCATTGGTATCAGTGGGAGGAATAGTGCCCCATCATTGGTATCAGTGGGAGGAATAGCGCCCCATCACTGGTGTCAGTGGGAGGAATAGTGCCCCATCATTGGTGTCAGTGGGAGGAATAGTGCCCCATCATTGGTGTCAGTGGGAGGAATAGTGCCCCATCATTGGTGTCAGTGGGAGGAATAGTGCCCCATCATTGGTGTCAGTGGGAGGAATAGTGCCCCATCATTGGTGTCAGTGGGAGGAATAGTGCCCCATCATTGGTGTCAGTGGGAGGAATAGTGCCCCATCATTGGTGTCAGTGGGAGGAATAGTGCCCCATCATTGGTGTCAGTGGGAGGAATAGTGCCCCATCATTGGGGAGGAATATCAGTGGGAGGAATAGTGCCCCATCATTGGTGTCAGTGGGAGGAATAGTGCCCATCATTGGTGTCAGTGGGAGGAATAGTGCCCCATCATTGGTATCAGTGGGAGGAATAGTGCCCCATCATTGGTGTCAGTGGGAGGAATAGTGCCCCATCATTGGTGTCAGTGGGAGGAATAGTGCCCCATCATTGGTGTCAGTGGGAGGAATAGTGCCCCATCACTGGTGTCAGTGGGAGGAATAGTGTCCCATCATTGGTGTCAGTGGGGAGGAATAGTGCCCCATCATTGGTATCAGTGGGAGGAATAGTGCCCCATCATTGGTATCAGTGGGAGGAATAGCGCCCCATCACTGATGTCAGTGGGAGGAATAGTGTGCCCCATCGTTGGTATCAGTGGGAGGAATAGTGCCCCATCGTTGGTGTCAGTGGGAGGAATAGTGCCCCATCATTGGTATCAGTGGGAGGAATAGTGCCCCATCATTGGTGTCAGTGGGAGGAATAGTGCCCCATCATTGGTGTCAGTGGGGGGAATAGTGCCCCATCATTGGTGTCAGTGGGAGGAATAGTGTCCCATCATTGGTGTCAGTGGGAGGAATAGTGCCCCATCATTGGTATCAGTGGGAGGAATAGTGCCCCATCATTGGTGTCAGTGGGAGGAATAGTGCCCCATCATTGGTGTCAGTGGGAGGAATAGTGCCCCATCATTGGTGTCAGTGGGAGGAATAGTGCCCCATCATTGGTGTCAGTGGGAGGAATAGTGCCCCATCATTGGTATCAGTGGGAGGAATAGTGCCCCATCATTGGTGTCAGTGGGAGGAATAGTGCCCCATCACTGATGTCAGTGGGAGGAATAGTGCCCCATCATTGGTGTCAGTGGGAGGAAT